TATAACACTTGCGGCAATTGATGCTGGAAAGAAGAAAATATATGAAACTAAGATTTGGGTGAAGGAATGGGAGGACTTCAAGAAAGTTGTAGAATTCAAGCTTGTTGGTGATGATAGTGCAAAAACTGGGGGCATTATCAATGTTCCAAACCCAAACAGCCCCGAGTTCCAAGATCTGGCTCGTTTTGCTGTTCAGGATTATAATAATACACAGGTCAATTATATATAATGACTTACTTTTATTTTCTATTTTTTTGTTAATTTCACATTAAAACCTATAATATTCAAATCTTTGCAGTATCTAATAATACTTTCATTTGAACAAATGTCATATACAATCTACTTTTCAGAATGCTCATTTGGAGTTTGTAGAAAATTTGAATGTGAAAGAACAACTTGTTGCTGGAATGATGTACTATATAACACTTGCGGCAACTGATGCCGGGAATAAGAAAGAATATGAAGCCAAGATTTGGGTGAAGGAATGGGAGGACTTCAAGAAAGTTATAGACTTCAAGCTTGTTGGTAATGATAGTGCAAAAATACTTGGGGGCTTTACCGAAGTTCCATTCCCAAACGACCCCGAGTTCCAAGATCTTACAAGTTTTGCTATTCACCAATATAATAAGAATCAGGTTATTTACAATGACTTACTCATCTTTTATTTATTTATTTCTAGTTAATTTCACATTCAACCCTATAATATTCAAATCCAGAATTCACTACTGGATCTAGTATATGATTCTTTCATTTGAATGAACGTCCTATACAATTAATTTTTCAGAATGCTCATCTGGAGTTTGTAGAAAATTTGAATGTGAAAAAAGCAGTTGTTGCTGGAATGTTGTACTACATAACATTTGTGGCAACAGATGGTGGAAAGAAAAAAATATATGAAGCTAAGATTTGGGTTAAGGTATGGGAGAACTTCAAGAAAGTTGTTGAATTCAAGCTTGTTGGTGATGATAGTGCAAAGCTTGGGGGCATTATCAATGTTCCATTCCCAAACAACCCCGAATTCCAAGATCTTGCTCGTTTTGCTGTTCAAGATTATAATAAGAAAGAGGTTAATTAAAATGACTTACTCCTTTTTAATTTTTTCGTTAGTTTCACATTCAAATCTATAATATTCAAATCCAGATATTCCACTACATTATCTAATAATACTCTCATTTGAACGAATTTCATATACAATCTACTTTTCAGAATGCTCATTTGGAGTTTGTAGAAAATTTGAATGTGAAAGAACAACTTGTTGCTGGAATGTTATACTACATAACACTTGCGGCAATTGATGCTGGAAAGAAGAAAATGTATGAAACTAAGATTTGGGTGAAGGAATGGGAGGACTTCAAGAAAGTTGTAGAATTCAAGCTTGTTGGTGATGATAGTGCAAAAACTGGGGGCATTATCAATGTTCCAAACCCAAACAGCCCCGAGTTCCAAGATCTTGCTCGTTTTGCTGTTCAGGATTATAATAATACACAGGTCAATTATATATAATGACTTACTTTTAGTTTCTATTTTTTGTTAATTTCACATTAAAACCTATAATATTCAAATCTTAAATCTATTGTAGTATCTAATAATACTTTCATTTGAACAAATGTCATATACAATCTACTTTTCAGAATGCTCATTTGGAGTTTGTAGAAAATTTGAATGTGAAGGAGCAACTTGTTGCTGGAATGATATACTATATAACACTTGTGGCAACTGATGCTGGAAAAAAGAAAATATATGAAGCTAAGATTTGGGTGAAGGAATGGGAGGACTTCAAAAAAGTTGTAGAATTCAAGCTTGTTGGTGATGATAGTGCAAAACCTGGGGGCATTATCATTGTTCCATTCCCAAATAGTCCTGAGTTCCAAGATCTTGCTCGTTTTGCTGTTCAAGATTTTAATAAGAAAGAGGTTAATCGCTAAATTAAAATGACTTAATCTTCTTTTATTTTCTGTTTAGTTTCATATTCAAATTTATACTATTTAAATTCTGAATTTACTGTTGTATCTAATAATTCTTTTATTTGAATGAACGTCGTATGCTCTATTTTTCAGAATGGTCATTTGGAGTTTGTAGAAGTTTTGAATTTGAAGGAACAAGTTGTTGCTGGAATAATGTACTATATAACACTTGCGGCAACTGATGCTGGAAAGAAAGAAATATATGAGACCAAGATTTTGGTGAAGGAATGGGAGAATTTCAAGGAAGTTCAAGAATTCAAGCTTGTTGGTGATGCTACAAAGTGAAATGAAACAACTTTTATATTGGTACGAAATAAAGCCAGTTGTTTGGTATGAAGTTATTGTAATGTTTATGACAAATAAAGCTAGTTGTTTGGCATAAAATTACTATTATGTTTGTGAGAAATAAAATCAGATCTATGTATCTGAAAGTATTTGATTATGTTATTGTAAACGTATTTGAATAATATTTTGTTTTCAGAAAGCTCTCTATGAAAAATATGTTATATTGTACTTACTATATATGCAAATAATTAACTGAACAAGTTGTAAGCAAATGATAATTAAATGAACAAGTTGTAAGCAAATGATAATTAAATGAACAAGTCGTAAGTAATTTATAATTAATTGGACAAGTAGGAAGTGGTTTTTTTTTAAATATTTTTTAACACAAATTGGTTTTTTAACACTAATTAACATTTCAAGCAAATAATATATAAGGAGTTTCTAAGCCACTACTCATAAACAATCCACATGTAAACGTCAAACACACGTATGATAAAAACTCAAAGTCAACCAACATACAAAATAACCACAAGCTCATCTATACGAATTGGACGGAACTCAATAATTTTATTTATTTATACTTTTTTTTCTCCACATTCATTGAATTCAATGGTTCAATAAAATGGTCCATGGACCACAAATTTTATTTTATTTTTTTAAAAATCAAATGTGAATTGGGTTTCTTAGCTTTTCTAATTACTGAAAAAATAGAAAAAACTACATAGCCACACATACTTTATTACCATATATACATATTTTATCTCTAGTTTAAAAATATTACACACAATACCACTTTTTAATAATTATACCATATATTTTTAAAAGGTATATCAGATACACAATCCCTTAAATATGATATTAAATAATTATCTTAAAATATAATCTCCTTAATTAATAGGACACTAAAAATTCAAATCCGATTCCCTCCCCCAATCCCATTAATCGTATGTATCTCTCCACTTCTTCCTCAAACATCTCTTGCATGTTCTAAATCAACAACCAATTTTTGAATATTAGCAATATATCAAGAGGTAAGATTTTCTTTAGGTTTTCGATTATTTTGTAATGTATCTTGAAATTTATACAATTTCATGTATCTGGGTTAGAGTTCTCCTTTTTCTAAAGTTCGATAGTAGTTATTACATTGTTTGAAGTTGTGTTGTATCCATAGAGCAATGTCTCAAAATTCCGAAAATAGTATGAGTTCTTTATTCATAGATTATTGTTTGAAGTTGTTCAATCAATTATTTTCTAATATTAATTTAATGTATTTAGTATTAATTTGATGTATTAAGTATCAATTTTATATGTTATATTAAAAACATGTGTCTCGAATTATGTGTATCTGAATATGGAATATACAAAAAGAAGAAGCATATACATCTAATTATGTGTATCTAAATATGGAATGTAACTGAAACACATGAATTTAGGAACAAACCACAACTGTAGAGTATCTGCCGTATCATTAATCCAAGAAAAATAGAAAATTATAAAAATCCTTCCCTTTTTAGCATCTGAAAGTTTCTCATAGATATGTAGAGTATGACTGTAGACTATCTATCGTAGCATATGTTGCTAGTTATGCTTGGATTCGATGGCTCCACCAAAAAATTTGCTTTTTCGTCCCTCCGATTAATGAATATTTGAAAAAGGTCCTCCAAGTGTTGGAGAAGAAATTTGAGTCAATTGAAGAATGAGACTGTTAAGGAGAAACCATCACTATAATTTGGCAGGAAAAAATTACAAACAAACAACTAAAAACCTTGAAAATTGAAGCTTGAAAGGAAGGAATTGATGAAAAAGATGAAGGTTTCAATATCAGATTTAATAACGTTTATGATTTTAATTTTTTAGAAAATTAGTTAATAGTGATACAGAATGATTTCCTAAATCTGTTCTGTTTGTTAATTTTCCAGAACTTGCTCTGCTACTTAAGGTATTCAGTTATAGTAGTTTAATTCAAAAAATTTATCACGTATCTCAGCCTTACACACCCAACAGATACACGTATCTGATATATCTCGACACATGTATCCATCAGCCAAAAGTGGTATAGCACGTAACATAAAAAAATATCAAAATTTCTAGTAATTAGGCTCTAAACTACTGGGATATATGTAGTTTACCCAAAAAATTCTCAATATTAGTTAAACGTGTTTAGTAACAAAAAAAAGTATCTGCCTATTGTCTTGAACCTATAATTCCTCATTTGGTTTGGCAACTACTCCCTCACTCCCAAATTATTTGTTTCTTCTTTCAAGAGTTAAATTACATAAATTTTGATCAATAATTAAAATATATTTTTTTCTCACCATATTGATAGTAAAAGTATCACAACTTATAGTACTTTTTATGTAATTTTTGAATATTTAAGTTTTAATTTTAAAATATTGAATTAATCTGATTCAATTTAACTCCGATAATTAGTTAGATTGACTCTCGAGAAGCGAAACATGACAAATATTTTGAGAGAGGAAGGAGTATTCGATTTCTTTGCAGTTTTTCTTTTCTTTTGGCCCATTTTTATAGTATTGGACTATCATTCCTAGATAAAAATAACGTTTATTGACCACTAAAAAATATCCAATTCATATAGGGTTTCAAATTTCAAAAGATAGAACTACTTGTTTTTTTAGTTACAGGTGCTGAAAATGACTATTTGTGTATCATACCCCATTTCTATATATTCAAAAATGTGACATAGTGATCAATAAGATGAATTGAGAACCTTAAAGACTCAGGTTCTAATAAATTTCAGCAGAGATAAAAATACTAGATAGATCTCGAGAAAATCCTCTCATGCACACAACAACTTGAAAATCAAAATGTAACATAAATTTTACATGATTATTTGAAATGCCAATTTTTTCCCCATTATATGTGAACACTTATAAAAAGCATAGAAAATAATTCTTGTGAATGTTGAAGCAATCATGGACGAAATTTGCAGGCAGTTTTGAACTGTTGAGCAGCTTCATCTCCTTTAAACTCATTATCTACCCATGCTGAGTATCCTCCTTCCAAGTTTCTTACATCCTTGTACCCCTACACTCAATAACATCACACGCGAAATGAAATCAGAATTTTAACTTTATGATTCTAAAATTTATTACGTACGATAATTTCAAGTGTATGTTAACAACTGATGTCTAAATTTTGATATTGGTATATATTTAATAAATTTCTTAATACAAATACACTATTTGAGCAAATGTTATTGAGTTAAGCCGACTCCCCCAAAATTACATAGTAGTGTATAGTACAACACTAGTATTAATTTGTAAGAAAATATTGACTTTTTTTTTATGACAAGGGAAATCCGCAGCAGCTACCCTTTGGGTGCACACAGGGTAAAACCCTACTCCTATGCAATAGCTCGCAAACCAAAAATATTAACTTTTATTCATGTAGACTAAACTTAGATCGAAATAAACTTAACTTTCAGCCACTTATAATATTTGCATTAAGATAGACTTTCTACATCACATTCTTTGGGTGCCACTTTTTTCCTGAACCCTGCTAACGCAATATGTTTTGTGCATTAAACTGCCCTTTTTTTAATTATTATTATTATAAATGGGAAATTGAAAGGTTCACTAACCGCATTAAGGAGATCGACACATGATCGAAGTCCTCTCCCTCCACTGTTGCATCCCTTCAAAACAGATCGATCACAATATCTTGTTAATTTACTCACCTATTACTAGATAGAGAGACGTAATCAAAATTTAAATTTTATAGGTTCAACTTCGATCATTACGATTTTTTAAATATTGAATTCATTTCACTTTTGAAGTTATATGTTCATGAATTTGGCATCCGCTATGAGAGTTGTTGGTTCAAAATTAAGTTACTTAAAAGATTATTATATATAGGTACGTAACTCTATTTAATAAGCCTTGAGATAAATGACAAGTAACCTACTCTAACAAGTTAATTTAATTTATACCATGGTGTAAATAACTTTTAGCGTTATAAATATATATATATATATATATATATATATAATTAGTAAAATTATTAAAAAGAAAGTTAAAAGGTTTATGAGTTTATTTACCACAATCAGATGATCCTCCTTTTGGCACACTGAAGAGACTTGCTCAAGAAAATCTGGATTTTTCACCCTTCCTAGCAAAAAAAAAAAAAAAAAACCTTCTCACACTAGAAAATAGTTTATAAGAAAAAAATACACAAAAATAATGAAAGTAAAAAAAAAAAAAAAAAAACCTTGTTCATTGAGAAACATGTAAGGAATATTTATGGCTTTATCAATATGTCCTCTATTATACTCTTCAACTGTCCTGTAAACATTGAATTATCAAGATATCCTAAAATATCACAAATTAGTTTACTTTTACTATATTTTTTTTATTTTCTTTTAAATAGACTTTACAATTACGTACTCACCTCACATCTAAATAAGTGTGACCTGAAGAGAGCAAATCCTTTGCACTAATCACATCAACATTTGAAACATCCTCATTGCTGCACACCAAAAAATATATATATTATAAGATCGATCAAAAATATAACGATCGATCAGAATAATAAGATCGGTTAGAACTGAATTAGTATAACGATCTATTAACAAGAGAATTAAGCATTAGAATTTTGTGTTAATTACCTCTTTATTGAATCCATTTTATGCTTATATATTGAAGTAGATACATCTTTTCAAACTTAATTTTCTTGGTTTTATAGAAGCTGCTCATTGTATGTTTGGCCGTTGACCTTCTTCTTATTGTAATAATAATAATAATAATAAGAGATGAATAATTGCATAATTAATTGCTTTGTTATAATTAAGTGATAATACTTCTTCCTTAATTGAACATGGCAACAGGTCACGTCAATTACGCAAATCCGTTGACTTTTAATTTGTTCACAAAACAATTATAGCTAATTTCTCATCTTGTTTTCCTTGCTGGACTTTAACTAATTGATCTCTGTATATTAACTTCATCGGTGTGAACTTGTTCATATTACTAGTTCCAATTCGGATAAAGGAAAAGGGTTATCGAGGGTCAATCAAAAACAATTTTTCTCTACCCAATAAAGATAGGAGTAAGATTGCATATATCTTATCCTGCTCAGATTTTATTTATGAGATTACACTAGATTTATTGTTGTTGTTGCCTTGCTAAACATGGAAATAATAATGTTATTGAGAATATAATTAAATAATAAAAATGTACTCTCTCTAACAGCTTAATCGTTTAGATGAGATGGTGTAACACTTCAATATAGTATCAAATCGAATCTCACTGTCACCCAAATCAAAAAGAATTTTCACGTGCCTGACCCATAAAAAATAATCAATTAAATAACTCTAACAATTTAACCTTTTAAATGAGATAATCACACACTTCAATTGTTCAACACATCTTTATTCATTAAAATTGTTTTATTTATATCACAAACTCAATCACTATTACAAAGGAAGTACAATACATAGCAGCATAGAATTATTGAAAATTCAAAACATAACATAAAAACACACACACACACAATTTATTCCACAAGGATTATTTTTGGTACATCCAAAATCAAGAAACACATCAATTTATCCCATAGTGATAAATTAATTAAATTTTGTATGGATTGAGTGCAGCTTCAAATTCAGAAGTGTCAGTGAAGAAAATCTTCAAATACTCAGTGTATGAAAATGGCTTGTATTTAGCAGGATTAGTTTCACTTAAAAGTGCTTTAGCTGGTTCAATTATGCATTCTCCATAACAAGCAGGACTAGTTAAACATCCAAGAGATATTCTATCTCTCACTGAATTTGTAGCCACTCTATGTATTCCACTTTCTAACTTCCCATTGCTTATCACCTGAGTTAAAAAAAAAAAAGAATTTACAATTTAGTCAAATTTTGTGTCGACCTATAAATGCACTCGTTAAAATTATGATGAGTGAAAAAGTGTTAAAAAAAGACTAGATGATCGACCATACCTAAAATCACATGAAAGAAGTTGTTTTGAAAGAACTATAATTTCTTGGAATCAAATATATACTGATAACCTAGGCCATAATAGAAAATCAAAAAGATCCATATAACTTATATCCAGGATCAGAGCTAGTAAGGGTCCAGAGGTTCATTTGAATTACCTTCAATAAAAAGTTATATTATTTATATATAGTTAAAACTACTCTCTCTCATACACTACAAGAAAAGTGTAAATTACATGGGGATTTTCCTGGGTATTAATATTAAAATTTACAGGAAAATAAATTTCCTACGATTTTTCATACTAATCCCCAGGAAAATCCCCATGTAATTCACACTCTTTTTGTAGTGATATGACTTACTTTCTTTTTAGTCAATCCCAAAAAAGAATGACAAATTTCTATATTAAGTAACAATTTTACTTTAAAATATCCATTTTACCTCTAATAAAATGATTTATAGTCATACAAATTACTATCATTTATTTTAAACCATAAGTTTTAAAAGTCTTCCTTTCTTTCTTAAACTCCATCCTGAGTCAAACTACCTCACAGATGGAGTATTTTTATGCGTAAATAGTAAATGTTGAACCCCCTTTACTACTTCATATTTTGAACCTTCTTAATGAAAATTTTAGCTCCGCTACTGTTGATATCTATTATTTGATATTAAATTAGTTTTAATTTTGTTAGTAATTGCTTTTCTTGGAATGTTTAACCTTATCATAGCTTTACATTCCAACAAAAATACTTATGTTTTACTCATTTGTATCAATTTATATGATTCACTTATTTTTAATCGATCTCAAAAAAAATAACACATTTCTACATTTAATAAAAATAAATATTCTATTTATAATGACACAAACACATATGATATATTTTAGACCATACATTTCAAAAAACTATTTTTTTAAAAATTTCATGTCACGTCAAAATTTATAAATACCTTCAAAACCATGCCATTGATGCAAACCAATGCACCAGGAATAGGCTCAACAGCAAGCCACTGTCCATCTTTTTGACGGCGCACATGTAAGCCGCCCAATTCTTGTAAAAGCAAGTTGATGACTCCGCCGTCATTATGTTCCACGGCTCCAGCCGTTACAGTCGGGTCGGGGCATTTTGGGTAAAGGTTGATAGCCATATACTGAATATGGCTCAGCTCATTTGCAAAGTAATCCTTTTCAAGTCCCAATCCTTCACACATTAGCTCCAAAATTCTCAAATTTGCCTTCCTCACTCCCTCAGTATATTTTCCAATCACTTCCCTATTAAAATATAATAATAGTGAGACATTTTGTCCCGAATTCTGATTAATCGAGCTTCAAATAAGATATTAACCATAGATCGGATGGAATTTTAAAAAAAAATATATTAAGGCCTAGTTGATATTGTTGGGGATCGAAAGTGATTATTATAGTTAATGTTAAGAAGTCCCACATCGGTAGAGGGATGGGAATTTGGTCTCCTTATCTGGACTTGGACACACCTCCCCTCATGAACTAGTTTTTGGGGTTGAGTTAGGCACATGTGTCATATCATTATATGGTATTAGAGCAGGTTGCAGCGGTCCTAAGATTGAATCTCACTACCACCCAAAATTAAAAAGGGGAAAAAGGACTAATATACCCATGAACTATTGTAAATGGTATGTAAATACCCTCCGTCATATTTTTGGGACATTGGTGCCCCTGCCGTTCAAAAACTAGAGCATATATGCCCTTCACTCTAACGGAATTATGACGGAGGGTATTTGCATACCATTTTTTCCACGTGGTTGGCCCATGAAAAAAATATCAGACCCGCACGCGAGGGGGAGTGTTAAGAAATCCCACAAAATATGAGTATAATAAGTGCAAATGACCCCACAAATATATGACATGTTTAAGGTACTTTATTTATTAAATTATGAAATAGAGTGATATTAGATTTAATACTTACCTATATTGTGCTGGCTTTTCAGGCCAAGAATTAATTCTATCTTCTTTGGTAGGATGAGTACAATGAGCAAAAGTGTCTTTCCAGAAAATAACTTCTTTATCATTTTTGCCATTCTTCTTAGGTTTATATTCCTTTTCAATATAAAGCTTTGGCTTCTGGTCAAGATTTGGCTCAAATTCACTCAACTCTTCTTCTTCAGCATACTTTTCCAAGTCCTCAATTGGCAACTTGAAAAATTCATCACAAACTTTAAGGACATCACCAATCAACTCTTGTGGCACTCCATGGTTAATCACCTGATGACATCATAAACAACAATATAATTATCGATTTAATTTATATACATTGACAGAAACTAGTACACACTATTATCAGATAAATTTAACGTGTTATAACAAGTTACTTGCATATATGTACAGTCAAACAACCTCTCTATAGCTGGCATCCCTCATCTATAACAATATTTCACTATAACAATCATATTTTTTTTTTGTGGAGCCGATCTTTCATGTTATAACAACATTTCAATAACGAAATATCATAACAAACAATGTTGTTATAGAGATGTTTGACTCATGTACTGTAGGTTACCAATGAACGTTTAAATAAAGCTACTTGCAATTGCATCGTGATGTTTGAATCAATTTACGTGCACTTCCCAATTAATTACATGGAAAACCTAGCTACTACCTCCACCAACATATATAAGTATCATGCAATTACATTTCAAATGACCTAATTGTATAAATATTTTTCCAACATATATAAGTACCATGCAATTATATTTTAAATGACCTAATTTTATAAATATTTTTCACGTACGCAAACTAACAGTGCATAAAACTTAAAACTCTGTAATTATATTACCTGAAAAACTCCATAGTCTTGAGAAGCTTTGATGATTTGTTCAGCTATGAGGGCAGAATTAGGATGTGACAAATCAATAACTGGAATTTCTTTACCAATTGGGACATTTACATTCAATCTTTTCTCTGTAGGCACCACATACCTTTCAGGCACAGTGTTCACTTGTGAAGCCCAACTAGAGACCAGAGATGCCATTTTTTGGTTTTCTTAAAAGTATAGATGATTGTAGAGAATTGAGAATGTACTAATTGTGAAGCATTCTTAATTCATACCTTATTTTATAGTGGTCCTTGCCAAATATTTTAATGCTAAATATTGGTGCACTCTTTGTAAATGTATCAGTTAAGTCCGCTAGTGATATTATTCTTTTTGGATTTAGATTCACATGGTATTAAAATGTATCACTAGGATGTAACACATATTTACTTATTTACCCAACATTTTTCCTGTGTTTTTCTCAATGTGAAACTTCTTATCATAATCTAGTATGTCAGTTGTCGCATACACCCATAGCAGAGCTATAGCCACCTCAGGGTGTGTCCAACTGGACACCCTTCATCGAAAAATTACGTTGTGTATATATATATATATATATATATATATATATTAAATTCGGTGTTTTAAAGGATATATATTTAAAGTTGGATACCCTTGACAAAAGCTACGTCATTGATGCAGTGGTAATGAGTGTTCATTTTAATCAAGTAGTTTCGGGTTTGGACCTCTTTGTAGCATAATGTTTTTTTTTGACAACAGGTCACTTGTACACACATCATTATTCTTGGACACCTTTGATAAAATGTCTGGCTCCGCCACTACTGATATACCTACTCTGACTCAAAGTCCTTGATGAAGTTTGTCGTTGCCTAGCTAGAATCAGTCCGAGGTTTCCCTGCCTTATCGAAATTTGTCTAAACTC